ATGGCAACAAAGAGAACAATAAACATAAACACCTATCAAATGCATTTTCGAAAACAAATGGTACATATATATGTAGGAGAAATTTGGATTCTTATATAAGCTGTGGTGTATGTGGTATTTATATGAACTAATGATTCCTTTGTACTTGTTCACTGCTTGATTTCGAATTACAAATACAATTCATTCGTTCGTGATTATCTAGTACTTCTTGATTAAATTGACTTATGTCTAGGATTCCTAGTTTTTACTATAATTCAACTACTCCTAATTACCACATTCTTCTATATGTAGGTCATTGAATTATTTATTTTCATTTGCATTGTATAGAATACTGTCTCATTATACAAAACAAATAGTAATTAGCTAACATGAGAACTTGATACTTACTTTTTTAACTTCTGAGTTGAACAGTAAGCAGACGTTACTTATATTTGATGATATCGATATTAGTTAATAATTGATGAATTGCAAACTATGATTGGTTGATTTATGAAGTTCAGTGGAAGTAATTTCGAGATTGCCATTCTTGTTTCACAGGAGATAATCTATATGAACTCATATCTTCGGTATTAATAAATTATTAGTTTCGATTCAATGTCTTTTATATTGAAAAATGAATGGTGTGCAATACTGTGGGCAACAACAGACCATTCAACGGGTTATGCGCTTAAAATCGCCATCTTCATTAGAAATCTTATTGGAAGATAGGTATGATATTATACAGTAGGTTGTGTAAATAATGATACAAAGAGCAGAATTATTTGGATTGTACCAAACATCAGGATTCCTGTCCAGAACTTGATACATTGATACATTCACAATATCTTTGAATATTCTAGATGAGTTTTTCACAACCCAATGATGTATAGACATATACAGTATATAAGTGAAATAATCTTATCCTCATAGGTATAAGAATGCTAAATGTACTTCACGCATAACTGATCAAGATCAACTTAAGTAGATTATGAAGAAGAGGAAGAAAGAGCTTAATTATTCGAATGAAATTAATTTTAAAATCTCTACAAAACCCCTTCTCATAAATCCACTTTCAATAAATTTCAATGGTGTTAACAAGTTTACCTTATTTCAAACATCGTAATGTAAAACATAATTCAATCGATTATCAAGTATCTCAACATATTTTCCATTGTAGCGTATAACGAGTACATTAATTTCAATGACTCTGATGCTTAGTCATTTAGACTAGTAGTAATATTGTAACTCGATCAATGAAATTCGATCAGCATAGGGTGTCGGTTACCATTTAGGGATCAATCAATTGTTGGCTGATTAATAGTAACTCCTCAAATGTTCAACCAGAGGAATGAGTGACTATGCTTCTTCAAGGGGAAATATTTGATAACCTATCAGACATTTAATTTGTCATATTTTTATCAACTATAACATAATCGATGGATTTTACCTGTTGACAATCGAGTCACTTATTTAATAACATTTGTCTTTGAACTGCCATTTTGATATATTCAAATTGTTTATATCAGCCGTTTACTGATTAAAAGGCAGTGGATGAACTAACAAATAACCACTCTCATTAGGTGTTTACTCGATGTAGAAATAACGTGTTAGGACGTACACTTTGTTTCCCATCAATTCAACACAAAGTAACAACAGAAGTAGAACATCGTATATTAGGCAGAGAAAATGCAAGATTACTGAAAAATACTAAACACAGCAAACACACACACAAACACACACCAAAGAAAATACAATTTGCAAATTAATTCAACATTGTTGGTTTATTCTATTTCATTCAGCTTTTCAAATTAAATGTGAGAACTTCACCTTAATAAGAACTATTGGCCTCTAATACAAGTGCGAAACACAAAGTGTTTAAATGTGTGTATAGCTAGTGACACGATAGATTAAGTGAAACATACATGGTTCGATCTACTTTGTATAATGACACAGTATTGTTTACTGTGCAAATGCAAATCAATAATTCGCGGATCTACATGAAGAGGAAACACTGTGAGTTTGTTATCAAGATGGTCTATACAAGAATGGTTACATTTATCATACATTATCATTATTGTACAGTTCTGTTTTGATATTTATGAGTTTGTAATCCTGGTCGGTAGCCCATGTTCTACGCGAGCTAACGGACGTATGTAGTTATGTGAGCTGTGTTGGTAGCAATATGAATAGTGAATCCAGTAGGAAATTTTTTTATACTCTCAAAAGTTCCTAATCAGATCGAGTAGATGGTGGGATTTCTGTTGTTACTTGGAAACTATACTGACAGTGTTATTTCCAATTTCACTTTGAAAACAGAGAGTTTGTAAAGTACATAAGGATTTTCCATAATTATCATATTTGTAAACATTGTTTATAAATAACCACTGCTTTGGTTTCTGTGTTGTAAGCAACCCACAAGTTGAAAGCATTGATGTAATTCTGTTACGCTTACTGTTGATTCATTTACATCCATTGACGAGAAATGTTGTTCGAACTTTCAACTTGATTGCAGAATTCACCTCGAATTGAATCACTCACTTCATCATCATTAAACAATTAAAAACGACTATGGAATGTATTAATAATTGTAGAACTCAGTAGCCAAGTGGATGACGAGATGGCGTTTGAAGCGAACGGGATCGGGTTCGAGTCCATGAGTGAGAATCAACTCTGAGATGCAGGTACATCCAGCTGACGAGTCCCACATAGGAGGAAACGTGCGTCAAACTCGATTACACTGCTAGACATTAATAATCGTAGTCATGCAAGTCATATGTGATAGTTATGACGAGACGAGAAAATCGTCAGTCTTGAATGAAATCGTTATGTAATTGATGACCTTCAATTAATGGGTGATGAGGTTAAATATGAAATGTCAATGTACGCGTTTAATTGATTGGCAAGCAATTAGGCATTTTCGAAAATAAATGGTACATATATATGTAGGAGAGCTTTCGAAGAACGTTTGTATCACAGATTGTGTCATTTCCGAATGATAAATATTTTCCAGTGAATCGCATGGGAAAATGTGTATGAGAAAATTTCCAGATTCATTGAATATATGTTATACAGCTAAACCAATGAGACGAATTGATAGTCAGATATTCAAGTGAACCCTATCATCGTTGTCGCCCGATACTTAGTAGAGAATTGATAAGTGACCATTTCGTCGCAATTTATGCACTCACTGGTCACTCTGTAGATGAAGTGTAGTTGAAATTACGATTTCCTCAACTACCGATTGTCCCACTCATCATGTCATTTAAAATCCACTCGGAAACGAGGGTAAAACTCTAATTTAAAATTGACAAAGACGATGAAAACTTGACACAAGTTCAGAGACATGTTTTAAGAAAGAACAAAGAGTATCGTATTCACGATAACTATCTATGTGACCAAGATTGATTTTCCAAGCTTGTTTTCTTCACATACATTTGACTACTCACGTGATGCAGAACTAAGCGACTTGATTCTATTTAAGATTGTCAAAGACAAACTTCTACCCTCAAACCATTCGAGCAGCATCACTATCCTTCTGTCACATAGCGTACATTATGTTGAGCACATAATCGTTTTCTTTATCACCCAAGTTAAATTGTCACATTTGAAACTCTAATGGGTTCGCACAGATTCTTCAGTCTGACCATCTCATCTCAACGTAGTGCACACAATGTTGAGTCACTTAGACTGGTGACCACATTGCAACTTGCTCGATATCATTCGATCTGCACTAAGAAGGACTTGACACACATCCTGGGTTGCACTGCTAGCCGCCAATCATTTTTGTTTAGAATATCCATAGACGGACTCCGAAACATTTGAAAAAATAATGACACAGTTGATAATGAATTTATGGGAATACATAATCGTGCTGTTCGTGTCTTCAACAACCAATTGATCAACGAAGTTAAATCTCCACTTTAAAATTGTTCATTCTAGCTGTACCATTGTACTTGAGTTAAACAGAACATATAAAGTACAATTGATGCCTCTGTACAAAGTAATTCGGTCGCCTTATCACACTTCCATATATAAGGGGTTTGTACAGATTCTTCAGTCTAATCACATGTCTAATCAAATAACCCTTTCATATTATTACACAATCGCTCACACGACTATTTTTTAACATTTAACCAACTGACTAATATTTACATTTGTCCGATTAACTCATTTAGATTCATGTGAATAACTTGAAATTTCAATTTATACTTTTGAGTACATATTCGTTTTCTATATCACTCAAGTTAAATTATCTCATTTGCATCTCTAATGGGTTCGCACAGATTCTTCAGTTCGACCATCTCATCTCAACGTAGTGCACACAATGTTGAGTCACTTAGACTGGTGACCACATTGCAACTTGCTCGATATCATTCGATCTGCACTATGAAGGACTTGACACACATGATATTTATCACCACCCAGTAATCAATCTGTTGTGAAACTATTCATGTCTATTCAAATAACCATTTCATTTTATTGTCCATTCGTTTACACGACTATTATTTACAATTAACCTACTGACTAATATTTACATTTGTCCAATTGTTAACTCATTTATTATCACATGAAACAGTTGAAACTACAATTTAGACGGTGTTAATTATTATATCCCATGGTATTGATATTAATAATTGGTCGAATATTAGGATGGAAATTTCATATGAAAAGATAATAATTTCCCCCCCCCCTCAAGTCGTATTTTCATCATGTTCCTTGGCAATACTTCTCTATTAATGCTGTATTCAAGGTTGGTTTATGAACATTTATAGCTTTCTCATTGTCATATTACAATCATTTGTGAATAGCGTACAGTGTTAAGTTGCTCCATGATCATTCCATATGAAATTGTCTAAGTTAACGTGAAAACTGGTTTCATGATAAATATCAGAATTGTTATTATGTGTAAAATGTTAGACATTTTCAAATGTAATTTGATCTATACCACAGAAAGCACTATGTACATCACAATTTGATACAGTTTAGAATAAAACAAAGTTTCTGTTCTCAATATTCATGTTTCATGGATTCCAACGCAATTTCCGACCGTTGCATCCATCATTCCACCATCGCGCCACTCTCGGAACCCAATATGGACCAAACGCATGAGATGTATGAGCTAGCAGACACATTGCACATTGAGGTTGTGCATCGTAATCATGTATGATCCCATGACCATGCCATGCAAAATATTCATTATATGCAGTATCGTTCTTGTCCAAATACTTCAAATATTCTGCCAGTTTAGCTGGTGATTCGAATTGATCAACGTGAATGAACGAATATGGAGGAGCGACTCTTTCATATTCCTCGATCGAGGCACCCATCACAATAGGAAGTATGTCGTTTCTAGGAGTGAATAATAAGTTTTCGATTTGTTAAATACTGATCAACATCTCATCATACAAGTGAACCATCAACACTCGCAAAAGTATGCAGATCAATTGAAAGTGTCAAAATTTCAACTTACAGAACGATGGAGATGAGATTTTGGATTTCGCCAGTTTCACCGTTTTATTTTGACTTGACAGATGCCGAGAAATATAGACTATGATTACTCAATACACATTAGTCTCCGAAAGGCCGTTTTAGTCATGTTTGACTACACTCTGTTCAGTAACATGATCTGATGGAGAAATGTGTGTAGCAGACACTTCAGTACACTGAGCCATTATTCAGCTTAGTAGTTTATTGAATAATCCTAATCAGAGATGCTCTTCCATCATGGACATAACATATTACGGACTATTGTGTTTTGGTGTTTATGAGTTAAGTCTTTGAACTGCAGAATTACGGTTTAATATGTGTTAAATTAGTCTGTAAATCTGTTGATGATAATGCAGTAGCAATATTGCAGACCGGCTATTCTTCAAAACTATCCCCACCATAGTGAATCTCTTGCTCACATATAGGGGGTTTAGAAAGGTAGATTATTATAACTGACGGTTGTCAATGAATTTATGCGTCATATGTTATATCCGAACGAAGAATAAATGAATGGTGACTGTTAGTTATTATTTATGGACTATTATTACATATTGATTTTGGTATTGTTTGTTTGAATCGTTCCATTGATGTTCATGACTGACATTGATCAGTTTCTAATTAACATATCTGTATCCTGTGCAGAATGCCTCGAAATCGCTTTTCGTCACAAGCATTATAAGCAGAGATGGATGAAGGCTGGTAGCGGAATCGAGAAGCGCACGGTACTGGGTTCGAGTCCACGAGTAAACATCAACTCAGGGATGCAAATGCGTTCAGCTGACGAGTACTGAGTAGGACGGAACTCGTGTCCTGGATTCCACCGCTAGCCACCATCCATCCAATATTGCAAATATATTGTTATTAGATAATTATTAAGTAACCAGATTATATATATAGTATGTATATTCATGTTTCTTTTATTATTAGGTTTCGTTTTACGTATTGGCTACTGTAATATGAATAACCATTCTTAACTTATTCGCAATTTATTTGTTACAATATCCCACAATCACAGCCCTATTGCTTGATCCCATTTTATTATTATTTTTGATTTTATGATGTGATGCGGTTTGATCGGCTTGTGTACAAACCATGTATATCTGATATATATTAGGCAGAAAAAGTGAAAGCGTAATGAGAAATACTAAGCAGAGAACACACACAAACACACCAAAAAAATACAATTTGCAAATTAATTCAAGATTTATAGTTTATTCTATTTCATTCAGTTTTTCAAAATAAATGTGAGAACTTCACCTTAATGAACACTCATGGCCTCTAATTATATTGCAGCATCAATGAAACACATAGTAGAGGCTGCTATCTTTGTTCTGGATTAGACGGGATGGGCTCGGTGAGAAGTTGCTATGCAGATGACCCATAAGGACTCATGGTTGACTCAATGCTTCTGTCGATACATGAAGCATCATTGGTTTAGTAGAGAGACAATGTCATAGAAATCGGTATTCTAACTGACGTTTTGGTTGCCTGGTACTTGACAGGCCATAAAACAAAACAACCTTGTAGGATTAGTTGTACAAAAAATTGATCGAGCACTCTCACGTTCAATATTTGATGATATCTGTCAAAGTGCTCAAATAAGTTCTGTCATGGAATTCTCATATTCTCTCTTCTCTAATGTGAAGTTTATTGCGAGTATTGAACATTGGATTCCTCATTTTATATTATGTGCAATATTCTGTTAAACATCCTCAAAAGACCTCACTGAAATCTATTTCACATTGAAGAATCTCTATTTGTCTGCAACTATGTGAAGTTGCAGGATATATGTAACTGAAAACAACTGCCAAACAATATCAAAATCAGAATCTTCTATACGAACGTCAAGACAGAAACTTCGAGAACTACCACAACTATCATCAAAAACATACAAGTATTTGTAAACAATTGTCTATGCAAAATACTCAATGTCAGTTAAGTGGATATCATCAGTAACAATCTACTGTGGGAGAGAACAAACCAGCATCCATCTGGAGAGGAAATTAGGAAAACACGATGGAAATCGATTTGATGTACATTCTGGAAATCACCAGACTGCACCAGGAGGCAAATACTAAGTTGGAATCATGAATGTAAACGCAAAAGAGGAAGACCAAAGAAGCCGCGTTGTCGGCAATCGTAAGCAAATATGAAAAGGATGAATAGCAACTGGAAAGAATTGGAAAGAAATGTCCAGGACAGTGTTAGATGGAGAATAGTGGTGGTTGGCATATGCTCCTCCACGAAGGGTAACGGGCTTAAGTGAGTAAGTAAGTACTAGATGACTATGAATTGCCGCCTATCATTAAAACCAACATCATTGTAATCGATTGCTGTTAACTCTGCCAGTTTCATTTCCTTTATCTGAAATGATATAACACTTTGAGACGATGATTATGCATACATATAGATAAATTCATAACTTTGATTACACTATAATGCAAGATAAATGCCAAACCACTTACTTCAATGCATTTTTATACAACTTCTCTGTTATGTATTCAGTGCACAAGCTATTTTCGAAGCTCAAATAAAACTTATAATTTTCGCGAATCATTTTCAAACAGCTATCTGATGACATAAAAGTCGGATTAAGCTTTGGACATGATAACGTGCCACACTGACCATAAATATCAAGCTGAGAATAGAAAATAATAGAAATAAATAAATTACATCATCCAATGATGAAGCTGGTAACCGCATCGAAGTCGCTGTGCATATGTTTTACTAGTTGAATTCGTAAGCAGATCTAAACTAGAACATCAGTAAAAACGTGAGAGAACTGCCCAGCCATTTCGTCCTAACTAGCGACTTCTCAACATCAGCACTTCTGTATCCACGATTTCTAAATACCCATCATGAACACGGTGATTCCACAAATGTTCATTCATATAATACATGGACATAAAATTGGGTGATCACTGAGTATGGTGTAAGAATACCGAGATTGGTAATCTCGTGAGTCTAATTTATGGAATAGTCACATGTGATGATATTAATCCAGTTACACAGTTCCCTACAAAATTACGATTCGATGAAATCATCTTCAATCTGAGGATTATCGGTGACATTTCTGAGATGCTCATTTGTTTGTATGTATAGACTAACCAACTAGTACATTTAAAGAATGAATTTACAATGAAGTGAAAGAGAATCAAATATTCATAGTTGTTGATATTGAGTATAAATTGCAGCAATGAACACACATCGTTATAAAATGAAACACCTTCACGGGTCCTTAAATGTCAACAGCATATGACCAATCAGTAACTACGAAACCTCGCTGAAAACACCGTGTAATTGAGCAACACTAAATATTTAGTGCTTGAACTCATGACCCGTGTTTATCTATTTTGCTACATGCTGGAATGTAGGTATTGCCAAAGAATCAGTGCTTGAACTCCATGGAGAACGCATGCGTGAACGAGATGTCTGAGTTTCAGAGATGGAGACCTATTGTCAATACAATGATAAAGCACACAATTGTGCAGATATGGGAATAATACACTGATGTTGTCTACTCCACGCATTATCGTAAATCAATCACGACAATTTCAGTAGACCTTGTTTCACTATACATCAATTATTACTATTTCGTTTCTGCTTCATTTGAAACTACAGGATTAACAACATGAAGATCACTCTCGTCACGAATTAGTTCCGAGTGACAAATTTTGCATACTTCATCCTGTATACATTTTGCCTTCATCAATTGTTGGTCTCACTGAGATTATAGAAAAACATTCAGGAACTGAAAGTTAAGCCTTGGTAAACTCACCGGGATATGTCGTGAAAGTTCTTTGGCGTATTGCATTCTTGGACTTTTCGGTATACAGTTACTCACAAACCATGCAACTTTTTTTGATTTACCAGTAGCGAAGTTTCTAGAAGGCAAAGGATATCGTGTTTCCGGTCCATGGTGCTTTATGTATGGCTCATAGGAACCGTACGGCGAATAAATCGTTGAATCCAAACGGAAGGAGATAGTGTGATTAATCTTGATGTCAGAGGGATAAATTGAAGTAAAATGATATCACGTATATTGAAATGAATTTGCAAATTAGTAGTTTTGATATTACAATAATGTTTTACTAAAGTGGTTCGTGGATATTGTTGATTTTTGTCGTTTTGAATTATAGATTAACGGTACAGACCTGAATGTTTTGTTCCCGACCGCTGGTGTGTTGGTGCATTTACAATGCTCAAGAGTTCTCTAGTAAGATGAAATATCTGTTCAGTGCTTCCTGATTTTCAAAGGTAAGTGTATATGTATTGTGTCCAGAATAAAGGAATATTTACAATTAGATTAGTCTTGCTCGTGAATATACATGACACATGTAATTAGCTACATCTGTGATTCATGTGGACAAATCGAAATCTCTAACAGTCTATTTATTATGCAGATCCATTTGTGTCAATTAGTGGCATAAATGCAAACGAAATGATAAAAACTCGTTCCGATAATGGTGACATGAATGACACGTCGAAACTGTTTACGGAAAGTTTTACTGATTAGTTTAAACGGACATCAGGCATATATGTACAAATGAATAATGAACAAGGCAAAGAGCTCACTTGTTCAATGAATCTACGTCAACAGTGAAATCTAATGTTAACAAATAAATGTTAGCATAATGATTCGAATGAAGTAAGCTCCCGAAAATGTCTTGAACGCAGCCAAAGAACGATGCTGACTGGTTTTTAGATTTGCAGCCTGAAGCTATTAAATCCTAACTACAGGTTTAAGGAAACATATTGCAAAGATTTGTGGCATATTACATACATTTATCAGAATATCCTCTAATAGTGTGGTCAATAATATTTCGGGAACTGTCGGTTTTCTGTAGAATGAAAATATACTGAGAGTATGATTTGACTGTCACTCCTTTATATCGATGTTATGAACATATTGAAGAAATTTTCAATCAAATGGTATTTAATGATCTAAGTGAAGGCGAATATATTATATGCTTGCTAATCGAAAACAAGCTAATTGTTTAATGGAGATGTTGTCGAATTATCCTTTATACCTAGTAAGAAGATGTATATCTACCGTTTTACGATTATGAACTAAATATATTTGACAAGGCTGTAATTCTGTTTCACAGGTGAATTGTCACTTAAAAGTAATGTTTTCACAAGTTAGTTTGCTCTCACTACATCACTGCAAGCACTCAAGCTTCTTCTGCTTCTTTTTGCTATATTACATAATATACTATATACATAGAGTGTGAAACCGTTAGACGACAAAACTAAAGAGGATATAATTACTAATTACCATCTCGATACGAGGATCAAATCAGTGATGTACAGTATAGCATCATTTTGAAATGACTCAGACGATTTACAACCCAGTGTCAATTCAACTCGCTCTGATCACCTTCTTTGCAATTGACCACAGAAATAAACTGATATAATTGTAGAAGATCGACGAAAACTCCCTACCTCACATGAACTGGCTAGTGACATTGTTGTAGCCAATGACATTGCAAACATCGGTGTTAAACAATCTAACTCGGAGAACACATCATCACAAATAATTAAGCTTCATTTGTGAACCGATTTCAACCGTCCATTATAAATGAAACATCATGCAAATTATCCGGAAATGCACACTCATCATATCAGTACATATGGTAGTGAGAAATGATAGCGTAGTGGCTGTGAATCGTTAACCAATCACTCTTGTAACCGTTACCATATAAATTTCAACGGTGTTTGAAAACAGAAGGCAATGACAAGTGGCAACTACAGTTTATTAGTGGATAGTGAAGATCACATTGTTATAAGCACATCAAGCGAATTTGCAGCAGAGAGGTGAATACGTATATATACGAGCAAATATGTAAGCCCATTTGTAGTAAAATCGCATAAGGGTGCAGCAAGGCAAAGCAGACACTTATAATATTGAGGAGGTGAATGAATCACCATTCAGTGATATTTAAGCGATCAACATTTCAGCTAGTGTCTGTCATGTGATCTAGTGATCATAACGGTAAGTCAACAAAAGGGCTTAACCAAAATTAACCGTCATCGAAATTGGTTGTAAGATAGTTGCCATAATAGTCTAAGATGGTGAAATGAATTCGATGGCGTTCCGCCAAGAGATGAACATTATTTTCATTCGAATAATTGAAACTTCAGTTGAAAACTAGATAAAATTCCATGAACTAATCAACGAATATCCATCAAATCAATGAATGTTTTCAGCTGACTTTGAACAATGACCACAAATTGTAACCTCAAATTGCACACGAAATGATTTATTAATGCACCTTCTTGCAAAATTTCTCCTATAAAATCAACTGCAGTGTAACATGTGTGCTAAAGCAAACCAGGTTTAAAAGTTTTGCCTGGACAACTTCTACTGTTGATTGACGCCTAGGTAGGTGTTTTATGGGAACTCATAATCTTCACACAATTAGTTCATTTCATGGATTAAAATGAAGAATAGTGACACTATTCGTTGAGTAACACGAATCCATCCTCATTTTGTAGTGCTCGTCAGCTACATACGACCGTATTCACATTGTAATATAACATAATATTAAATGGTAAATGTTGGTGACTGAAGGAATTGAAATAACAAAGATTAGTAATATTACTGTGGCCAGAATTACTCACTTCATTTTCCAGAGAACCTGCCATAGCAATATGTACAGGCGACTCTTGTATTAAACTAAACCATAACTGATCAGGTGGTCGAATTCCGTTTGGCACTTTATCTTCTGTCAGTATAAGTGCATCAGCTTCTCGCCATCTGTTCATATCTGTGATAACTGCACATTTGGAGGCATGACATTTTGAAAAATCCATTGGTGTAAAAATTGTACGATGCCCATAGTTGAGAAACGTTTTCACCTGAAACATGAGTAGAATACAAATTAATGATATGATTTCGTCAACTTCAAATTTAACTAAACAGCACATGTCCCAATGTTTTATGGAATGGATATAGTAATGAACAGCACTGGAAACTGGGATTCGAGATTCTTTTCATCAGAGATTCATCAAAATACAAATAAGATTATAAACAATGGGATAATTCACTACCAGTCTATCAATGATATATATCCTGACGGTTAGCAATGATGGCAAGTTTTACTATTGATGTCATTCATGTCAACAAATTCTGTGTTACTTGAACGAAAATGATTTCGACTGAAATGGTAGTTACCTTTCACAAAATGGTGTCTAAGAGTTGAAGTTAGTACAAAATACATCCAAACAGTTATATCATTACATTTCTGTAATAAGTTCGAATACCAATACTACAAACTGAATTTTATCATTCCTTCAGTGGAATGCATTTGAATTACCTTGATGCGATTTGAATGAAACGATCAGGAGATATGAACATCAATCTGATGGAGAGTTTGAAACTGACGCGATTTCACACTTGCCTTCGAGAAACATCTAAAGAATCTCTCTTGAACTTCTCAAATATCTCACTATACACATTCCACTTACAAACATTATCTCTCAACCAAAATTTCTGTGATGATTCAACAACAAACCTGGTGCTGAGTGAATCACTGTGACATAAACTACTATGAAATTGAACAATGCCAACAAATATTTCGCACATATAATCTCGGTCATTTTGAAAAATCAATGAATAACTAGTAAGGATCAGTTAATCAAAAGACTGTCATTCTATTCAACGTCAAAGAATATTTCTACTGATCAACTTACCGTCTTATTCATACCCAATGAATCATATAATTTCTCCAGTCTATTTTCTTCCAGACTGAATCTCAGTGGGTATTTTTGAACGGACGTTTTACTGATAGGGGAATATATTTTGTGCAATAAACTAGCAAGATCCGATTCTGACCCGTTTGGAACAGATATATTGCTGCACAAAAATTCTATTGTTTTAGGTATTACATCATGATCGACTTGATTGATTCTCCATTGAAAGAGACTTGGTATAATGTTGATCGACCATATGATCAACAGAATAATTGATACACTGTACAACAATTTGACTGTCAATGCATATATATCATTTCGTACAACTATATCAGAAATTTTACGCATGATGTTTATTACAGAGGTGATTGGACGTGAGTTATAAGGATTGATTATCAGAAATGTGCGATATTATCTGGAAATTGTAAAACAGTCATTAAATCATTGATGAGTCTATATTACAACCTTTTATCAATGAAATATCATAAGCCACATTATAACGCGTTCATGTCATCTAGTTTAGACGATATTCACTTAACATATGCATTTCTTATTCATTGCAAAATTGTTTATTGACGTAACAATTGCATGCACACTAGTTTGTAGTGTGAAAGTGGATCAATGTCATCAGTGTTTGATTTGTAAATTAATCGACTACTATGAATTACAAGCTTGAGTCGAAGTCACCAATTGAAGCCTTCGATGAGATCACTAACCAATCAATATGGGACAAGAGACAGACGACTGTTTTGTCACCGAATGAGACGATTCAGCAGAGTGTGTTCACGACAGTCACCCATTTTGAATCGAACAGTATATCCAGTGTCGCATTCGAACGTTGGATGTCTGGTCCATGAGGACGGAAACCAATGCTACACACATCCAACAGTTCGCATTACCGTGTATCATCCAGTTAAATGTAATTCTAAAGACTGATCGGACTGAATTATTCAATTGATAAGAATGGAATCGAAATACAGTTTCGACAATATAAGCAGAGATTTAACTCTCTCTCGAATTAGGAATGTTAAACATATCACTGGGAATTCTGTGTGAATCTGATACTGTTCTGAAAATAAGATGTTCCAGATTCCAATAGTTTCCATCACAGAGATTTGTTTGAAAACTACTTGAAATCGGATTTCTCATTTTCAGTCCTAGTTGTGATTAAGCTGAGTTAGAGAGTATTTTTCACATCAACTCATTACTGTCCAACTATTCTACTATCATTTCACTGATGGTATGTTCCTATCTCAACATGTCACACTGAATATGGAAATCATTATATAACGATTGTATTGTAACTTCATTCATATTCACTGATTTAATAGTAGTTAGCTAACACTAGAACTTGATAGTTGTTTCACAGGAGATACTCTATATGTAATCATATCTTCTCAGGTAAATTATAGTGGTGTTTTAGACCAATATATTGAATTAAATCATCAAGTATTAGTTATACACATAATGTACGCGTCTAACAAATTCATAAATCGATGTCCTTTATATTGAAAATTGAATGGTGTGCAGTATTGTGGTGAAGTAAATTAAACTCCGTACAACCTATTAATCTACACACCACATTTCAGAATGTTTATACAGTATTTTAATGATGCCGAAATCTCTCTTATCATTCTACCATATATGAATTCATAGATGTTTTTGGGCAACAATAGAACTTTCAACGGGTTATGCGCTTAAAATCGCCATCTTCATTAGAAATCTTATTGAAAGATAGGTATCATATTATACAGTAGGTAATGTAAACAATGATACAAAGAACATAATTATTTGGATTGTACCAAGCATTAGAATCCCTGTCCAAAACTTGATACATTGATACATTCACAATATCTTTGAATATTCTAGATGAGTTTTTCACAACCCAATGATGTATAGACATATACAGTATATAAGTGAAATAATCTTATCCTCATAGGTATAAGAATGCTAAATGTACTTCACGTATAACTGATCAAGATCAACTTAAGTAGATTATGAAGAAGAGGAAGACGAATAAGAAAATGAAGAAAAAAGTTATTTAATCGATTGAAATTACTTTTAATAAAATTACTAATCACTCACGATCAATTCATATATCTCAATGAAAATATCCAATGTAACTTAGTTATGTAACAAATTATCAGCAATCTTTTTTTTTGAATATGTTCAGTTTTCATTACCCATACATCGATCTATAGAAAGATTCTATTGAAATTAAAATGAATGGTGTGCCGTTTCGTCAATATATATATATATATATATATATATATATATATATTGCATCACGCCATTTCATTCATTAGTTTTAATACATTATTACTTATTCAAGTGATCATTGGTGAATTCAAGTATATATCATGGATTCACATAATAGATCGAAAAATAACAACAAGAACAACAATACAATGGTAATGAATTCATTTCATTTCAATATTATTTCATAAATAATTTGTTTGTTTATTTATTTATTTATTTATGTTTGTTTGTTTGTTTGTTTTTGTGCTCTTAAATTAAGTTTAATACATTAAATATTATTCATTTTAAAATGATATACATTAAATTGGCAACTATTACTTTGTCCTACAGCCTGATTATTAGAATTATCGAATTTTTTCATATACAATTTGTTTCATACAAATAAGAGAAAGTGAGTACATTTTGATAGAGTATACTTTCTGTTAAATCGATCGAAAATCTTCAAAAAAATCATTTCCTAAAGATTTCAAATATATATTACTGACATGTAACACGGAACCGATAGTGTCGGTTGCTATGTTAACCACACATAGTTTATTCGGACTTCTAGACAAGCGAATTTATTTACTATTCTTTAGTCGCATTTTGACCTTCTCAATTATTCACTTATCAAATTTGATTGATTTTATATAAGTGTATGTGTTTGTATTTTCTATCTTACTCATCACATGTCTGTAACTTAATTTTATTTGACTATAAACATTGATTAATGCTTGATTAAATCGAGTTGGCTAACACACCCTTTCCAATCTGTTTCGCTCTTTCCTCTTTGTTTCGTCTCCTTGATTGCCTATAACAAATCAATGAGTGCATGAAATATACATATTCCTAATAGATTCTCTTATTTGATTTATTTAATTCCGTTATTCACTAGTGTGAATTAAGTCTTTAATTATATACGAGGATAGACGACATAGATATTTCGATAGTGATCAATTCAAGAACAATCCAAAACGACCTAACTGGAGTTAGATCTAGGGCCGCTAAAGTAGTGAACCCTACGACGACGAATCAAACGCAGCAAACAGTGTCAATGAATAACCTTTTGTACTCCATACTTTTGACGAGCAAACTCTATTCCGACATACTCAGCTAAGCTTATTCAGCACGACGTGAACATGGTCTAATCGTATTATCTTAAGGTTACTTTGTCTTCATGTCAGCCCTTCTCATCGATCCACCTGGTGGATCGTTCCATTATGATTTAAATAATTATCATAGTCTCATTACCACATTAATGTCACATTATAATCTAACGTGGAATAATTATTTTTGTTCACGCTGACATTAAATTATGACATTTACGCAATCATATCACTCATCGAACAAATTATAATTCTATGAACACTCCATTCACGTTATGACATTCGAAACTCACTGGACTATTTTTATTGTTCAATAATTTAAGATTTTCCTGCTTTCAGTGAGTTCATTCCATTTTTTTCTATGTCATTTCTGACCTATTATTACACTTATTCATTTAGTTAGGTCATTTTTATGTTATCACACTACACCACACATTTTTCATTTCTATATCATCTCCTATCATGTCTCGGGATTCCTTTAATTATAATAGGCCTTTTGCTAAGTTCGATCATTTGCATTATTTATCACACCAATTTTTTTTGGATATATGGCTATCACATGTCATATATTCCCGACATATTTACTAACCCATACACAAATCAATTGACTTGTTTAGCGCATATATATTTACATGTTCACACTACTAATTTTTAAATTGTTCACAGACTTCAATGATAATATTAGACATATCTTATGTTTCAATGATAATATGGAAAAAAAAAGATTTAATAACTTAATATAGAATTACATACTTACTATGGTTAATAACATAAACTATCCCCAATGGTTTTTGTCTTAAATTACTATTGTCATAACATTATCATTATTTTTAAAGAAAACAAACTAAATTACAAAATCCACTGTATATCTATATATAGATGTTGGAATTATACTATCCAAATGTTAATTTAACACAAGTTCAATTGATGTTTCTATGATACCTTAGCAACATGTATGGACATTTTAAGGTAAAATTAATACACCCAAATATATATCGTTTCAACCAATCAAATCATCTAAATTCATTACTGTATGTGTGTTTAGATTAAATTGTTTTTTTTTTTAAAATATTTCATCCTTAATATTATTAAAAGAAAAAATAATGTTAATTAAGTTAGGTTTATTGAGATTTTGGCTATATAGAAATTGATACCCCTCCCCTTTTATGTATTCAAAAATAATTTATCCTTATACTTAACCTACCCTAGTCATACTAATTTATTATTCAATGTGGTAATCATATTATTTTTGTATAAGTAAAAAGTTACAAGCAGGATTATTGAATTTGATTTTTCAACTATATGAACTTTATCCCTATCAAGAGTATATATCTAAATCATTTACAATTGAATTAATTGGAATTCATTTGAAAGTTATTCACAGGTTAGAATATGAATTATGTTATATTTCACATGTTGACACTATGAATTTCACTAGTTGAAATCATGAGTCAATGAAACTAGACCACCATGGAAAACCTGGAAGCAATGGACGGCCGTTTCGTTCTAATTAGACATTAACACAGTTAGATGCCAGCCCAGTGATCTAATGGTGAGACTGATGAGTTCTGGGTTCGAATCTCGCGGAGGGGGAGCGGGATCGTGGATGCGCACTGTTGAGGAATCCCATGCTAGGACGAAACGGCCGTCCAGTACTTCCAGGTTTCCCATGGTGATCTAGCTTCAATGGACTCATGATTTCAACGGTTGAAATTTCTAAAATCCCTACAAAACCCCTTCTGACTCTATGAATCAACATGAACTAGATGAAAAATATAGAAAGAGTTTAAATTATAGCTATAACAGAAATAAGTATAGAGATTTATAGGTTATATTGAAATAGAACATTTATTCTGAGTTCTTAAAAAAGTAGATTCTTAACTTAAGTTGAGTTATATGATTGGTTGTAAATGTCAAGAAATTCTGGAGAATTATGATAGTTCTACTCTACTCCAAATACTACCATCGTTGTGATTGTAAAAATTAACATCTCTTTATATCTAT